TTCAACAATTTGGATCCAATATTTGCTGAAATATCGCAGTTCTTGCATTTTTTGAAAATACCTTTATGTGGGAAGTGGGCATGGTTACAGTCCGATTTCGCCCATTTTCAATACCAACCTACCTTCGTTTTTGCTAGAGTTATCGTGTACACGGACGTGTTTAATTTTGTCTTGATTTTTTTTGGACTTAGCACATTTACATAAAACTGCATAGCAACAAGTAAGAACAACATTACGGTAACTTTTTTTTTGTAATGATGTATTTTGAGTTGTTCTATCTTGCTGCATTAAAATCTCAATTTTCATAAAAAGTGTACTTAGCACGTTTGCACACTAAGCCAAGTGCAAAATACGTCTAAGAAAAAAAATCTCAAGAATCAACGCGATTTTCTAGGCGGCTGAAACTTGCGCTTCATTTGACTAAAATCGAATGTGCTATAAAACTGCTTTGCAGAAATTCTGAATAAAAAGTTGAAAATTTTAATAAAATTATTGTGAATTTTTGTGAAGATTATATTAAGTGTGAAACTTTGATTTATATGGTTTATATTATAGAATGAACTATATTCCCATAAATAAATAAGGCAAACAATTTTTCATGAAAATAATTGTGAATATTATATTAGAATAAAGTGTATACTTTCATTTGTCGCCTAGTGTATATACACATATGTACATACATATGTAAATAAAGAGTGCCTACAATGAAGTAAACTGACTTTCACGCCAAATAAATATTGCTCGAAATAATAAAGAAACCTCTTTGCGCCACAAGTAATGAGTAATTTCTTTTCTAAATTTGGTCAGCATTTAAGAATTTTGAGCGCTCTATTCGTCTTTTGGTTTCGTTATTCTCGAGTGTGTTTAAGCTTTATTTGATGCGGAAAATTTGATGAAATGAATTCCAATTCCATTGACCATGAGTACCATTTACAACTGACCCTTGTTTCACTCGAGTGGATTTCCCTAATATGCTTGACCACTTCCGGCGGTCATCGTTTTACACATTGCAGATATGTATACACACATATCTACAGAATTAGATACATACAGTCAATCATAATTTTGAAATTTGTTTATTGTCTACGTGAAGACATACATACATACTAGAGGGCTGCATGAATTCATTCAAACTTCTAGCCAAACAGAGTGCAGTAGATTTGAATATCTTACATCACATACAAAACACTCAGCGTTTGGAATTTTGTAACTTATGAATATACATTTTGTTTTATATTTTCTACCTTCAAATGGAAGAATGTGAATGGTATTGCTGATTTATGTTCCTCTTTTTTTTGGAACATAATTTGTTTGAGTACTTTGTTTTATGTATACAGCGCTCAATATCTTCACTTCTCTTCCTTCCATGCCCTCTTTGTTAGAGTATGAGTACTTTACATATTTGAAAAAAACTTCACAGTGAAACAAACTGAATTCCGATGCAGACCTTTAGTACATATGAAGAACCCAGCAAAAACTTTGATTCTTTGGCAAGCGCTTACTTTTTGTATCGATGGAGTAACGCATTACAATACGCCTCAAGATAAGATTACTGGTAATGCAGTGGGAAAGCAGTGTGTGGTGAATCTCGATAAGCACTTTTCGAAATTCACCACATACCTTCTAGTTTACAGAACACATTACTTAAACCTGGGCATGTCATTGAAGGGAAGCGAGAAAGTGAAAAATTTGGTTTTGAGGCGTATTGTAATGCGTTACTTTATCGATACAAAGTGTAAGCGCTTACCAAGAAAAGAAAAGTTTTTGCTGGGTATGTACAAAACATTTGTATACTTATGTATATGTATGCGCAGATAATAAATACTTAGCCTACCCTAACTACTAGTAAAAATGCGTTACCGTTAAAAGTCTATTGCGTTTGAGAAGGGGGCCTGCTAGTTTTTATAGACAGAGTTGCCACACAATACAATGTAAATTCAAATGAAAATATGCAAGAATCACGTCGAATCATATGTTTCTTATAGAGTTCTCATTCATAGATTTAGCTTTATGGCCAATATCCTGTATGACAATTAAGAATTTTTGTAAATGTGCATACATAGTACATATCGTTACCTTAATATAGAAAGGCCCTATCTCATATCGTCGATGAAATGCAAAAAAGCCGTTATTAAAAAAATCACTGTATGCACATTTTGTACATATTTATTTTCAAGACTGATTTTATTATGCTAATGTCAGGATGATTAATAAAGAAATATTTAAATATGCACATACATATGTATATGATATTTATATTTTTTTTAATAAACAATGTACATGTATTAAATTGAAAACTTGAATTATTAAATTCTTTTAAATTCAAGGCATATTCAGTTCCTGTAAGATTAAAAAAATATAATTATCACGTTTTAACTTCCAGTTTTCTATATTTGTTTTACGCCCTATTGGAAAATTATAAAAAAAAGATGTATGCGGTTTTGAAGCTCATCCAATTTTAGTACAATGAAGTTAAAGTTTGATGTTGCTGAAAGATCCTTTGATTTTTGATATTTTTTTTTGCTAGCGGTGCTGTGCATTTTTTTCATACGAAAAAATTGTCGAACGTACCTTTTATGTTTTATTAACAACACCAATCTAGACGTCGTCAAATTAGCGGCCTTTGTTATCGTTAACGACAACAGCTGATTTGGCGATAACGAATGTTCTTAGGGCCCTGTCACACGGTCAGTAATTATCACGATATTTGGATCGCGATCCATATTGATGGATTGATGGATCGCGCACGAATGCTAAGTAAATGTTCAATATTTATCGCGTCAGTATTTGCATAATTTTTGTGCTGAACGCTTATTATGACGCAAGAAAATATTTTTATTTTGTACAAATAATCTACAGATAATGCATTCCACAAATATATTAAAATTTCCAATGTTAATTCAAATTGTTTCAATTTGTTTTAAAAGGTGTTAAGCAACGGGAGCGAAGGCATAGCGAATACGTTTTCGATGTTGGCATTATGAGAGTACAAGATGTACTGACGAAATGTATGGATCGCGTTTTGAAAGTGCTACACGTTCAATATTTATTGACAGTATTGCGATACGCGATCCAGATTTCAAAATTTTTAGAAATTTTGCGATATGGATCACGATCCATCAATACTTGGATCACGTCAATAAATACTGACCGTGTGGCAAGGCCCTTAAGGAAACGTTTACTGAATAGCTAAATAGTTAAAATTGTCATTTAGCTGACTTAACAATAACAAGAGTTGTTAAAATCGCGGAGTGAATCGCATACTGGTTAAAAGTCAAGGAAATGATAAATATAAAAATGAAAATATCAGAAATATAGAGAAAATAATAAAGATAAAGGTGGAGACAAAGAAAAAGAAAAATAAAAGGATAAAATTGAAGAGTGACATGTTATGTTGTGTTGTGTATATATCCTGTTATGTTGCTCAACGCATTTTACCTCATTTTACTTCCAAGTAACTCAACTAAACTCAACTCGGCTCAGCTTAGGCCACCTCAACTCATCTCAATTTTAGATGTTGAATTTCAAACGCTGGCCGAACACTAGTGTATATAAAACAAGTAATTTTTAAGCAAAAAACCAAAACCGACTTCAATTCTCATATAATTTTCTTTATGATCCAATGATCAGATCTAAGCCAAATAGAGTCGCTAAAAATTGTCGTTAATTTGTTTAGAATTTTTTTTTGTGGATCACACGTTATATGGAAAAAAATGAGCAAACCCCCCACCAATGAAATTCTAAAAAAATCAACGGTAATTTTTAGCGACTCGAAACTTACACTTTATTAGACTAAAACTCAATGGGATACAAAACTGCATACCCGATTTTTTTTTTTTAATATTCTGATTAATAATTTGGAAATTTTTATGACAATTTGTTTAAGTTTAAGATTAAGTTTTTTGAAATTTGTACAAGCTTTGAAACTTTTATTTATGTGATTTTCGTTTTAGACTGAATTATATTTTAAATGAAATTTTTTAAAAATAAATAAATAAACGTAAGTGGCAAACAATATCATTTTGAACAAAAATAGGAGCTTTCGCCGTTTCTCAAAATTAAATGCTTTTTCCAGTAAAGTTTAATGAATATTGTTTGAGATGAGTAAACAAAGATTTTGCGTCCAAAATTTTTGCCACGAGAAATTTTTGTATTTACATATCGTTACCTTAATATAGAAAGGCCCTATCTCACATCGTGGCTGAAATGCAAAAAGCCTTAACCACCCAAGAAATGCAAAATTCACTTTTTGATTGATTATGATGCATTTGATTGAAATATAAGTTTCCAAATCGTTTAATGCAATAAACAATTTTAGTTAGTTACGGCTTGTTTGCATTTCATCCACGATATGAGATGATAGGGTCTTTCTATATGTATGTTTGTATGTACAATTAGTTAGAAAAGATATTTTATTAATAATTAAGATAATCGAGATATCTTTTGAATCCTTTCATAATATGTATATTTTATTTTTTTGCTTATATCACTTAATTATGATGACATAATAGGAATTTGAAGAAGATTGGATGAGCAGAGACTTTTGGATTAAACGAAAATGTTTTTTTTTTCAGGGTGCTGGCAAGGAGATTCGGGAGGCCATTGCTGATCCTTCACCGAAATGTCAGGAAAAAGCGTGGGATGCAGTTTTGCCTTTGGTAAAGAAGCTGAAGAGGTGCTATGAGCACTCACTGGAACTAGAAAAGATCGTCCCGAAATTGTTGGGCCAACTAGTTGGAGGCAAACTGAATCCTACACAGCATCTGGAGACTCAACAAGCACTAGTCAAACAACTAGCAGAAATTTTGGAGTTTGTCTTAAAGTTCGACGAATACAAGGTAGTTGCTCACTGTTTATAAGTTGCTCACTGTTAATTCTTCTAATTTGTCTTACCTTCAGTTAATGGTGTAATTTCATAAAACACATCTAATTTTTTTTCTTTAAAAAGGCTGGCCAATGTCTAAGTACAGTGTAGTGTGAAACATTACATCATTTGAGCAACCGCCACGGGAATTCTCCCAGGCGTTGATCCTTTTGGGGTAGTTTTGACGTAGAATACGTCTTACGTCTCGATATGGAGGCTATGCTCAAATGTTGTAGTTGTAATTTTTAGAGTTTCACGAAAACACGCTTATTGCACGAGAACTAATGAAGCGATTTCAAAGAAAAGTGTGGCCTTTCAAAGATAAAATTACAAACCTATCGACAGATTCATTTTTATAAATTACCAATTCGGCTTCTGTCGTACGAACAACGGTAAACATTGGCTTATTTTGGGGTCAATTTTGAGCCTTTAAAGTGCTCTAGCAACTTATGATTTGCAGATATAGGTTCTTCGGAGCAATAGAAATATTATTTTCTACAAATTTTACATAAATTCAACAAATATTGAGCATTTTAAGGCAAAAAATTGTTTAAACAATTTTTTTTATTACCAAAATGCACGAAAACCGCTCGATTGATTTTCTTTATGTTTTCTTTAACCAAAAATTCAAGTGTTATCCTTTCGTTTGGTATATGGGAAGTATTGGTTGATATCTCCTAAGTATGTTTATTTTGTTCAAATATATGGGCATAAATGATTTTCCATACGGAATCACTTCGTCATCATTTTGGAGGGGTGCAATAACACCATACGCAATAAGACCATAATGGCTTCATTTCGCTTTGCGATTGGAAATAAAACCATAATTTCGATACGGCCTTATTTCCAACTGGAAATGGAAATAAAGCCATTATGGTTTTTTGCGCTTTTTAAAATTTTTGTTTGGAAAACATAAAACCAGTTTTTGCGGAGAAGACTTGGAGGGCGGCGCGGCGCGGTGCAGGGGAGGGAGCAAATGTGCACCCGCCAAGTTATGCACTCGCAAAATTAAAACCTACATGAGTACATATTTTTATTTTCCAATATTCGATAAATCCGGAAATATCAAATAGTTATTTATTTGATTTTATTAGTAATAATTTGTATCAATTTAATTTAATTTAATTTAAATAATTCACTATCATAGTATCACAAACATACATACATACGTATGTATATGTTTTAACAAAATCAAACAAAGAAGCTTATTCGATAACGGAACAAAGAACCACTAAACTTAATTTCGGCGCGCACAGAACACACTGTGGGTACAATAACATAGCCGAGATATTGGTACGGCTAGAGCCTACTCAAAAAGGAGTTGTGCGCGTAAAAATATTGCATATAACATGCCCGAATTTTGAAAACTGAAATCGTAATTATTTAATTATTGGTACTCAAAATAATTTTTAAAAAAGGTTTTTAGTTTTTTCATTTAAAGTTGCCGCCAGGAGTTAACATCTCGTAAATATTGTTCGGAATGTGTTTTCTACTACAGATAACTTTTGAAAAAAAAATAAATAAAAAATAAAAGTTAATTTCCCTTCACGGATTCGTAGTACTGGGGTCTATATGATACCCCTTTTGACGAAATAATTTGATGATTACCAAAATTCAACACGTCCCAGTCAAAAATGAAAATTCCATTTGCTCGGCGCTAGCGCCGCGTTATTGTGGAATGCTCCAAAGAAATTGTACGGGCATGAGGATTTTTTGACAGTTGTTTGGCGTTTGATGCGCCAATTTATGGACGGAAGTAAGCGGTTACCCAACGCACAGCATTACATATGTAAGTCTGTTGGTTTTTGATTTCTACGTAAAAACTGAGCTATATAATACGCGAAAACTTTTTCGTCATATAAAATTTGTAGCATTCGTTCGATTTTACAAAATGGGGTATCAAATTAAAAAGGTTGGTCTGTGGATGCGCAATAACTTATTTTTTCAAGAGTTGCCACCTGATAAAAAAATTGAATTCAAATTATTTTTAAGTTAATTCAGTTATTACACTATGAGTTACGATCGAAATGGTTTTGAGAAGGCTTTAATTGTTAATTATATGTAGGAGGGTTGCCACCTGTTTCGAAAAGAAAGTTCGACTTAAATAAAGAAAATTGTGATGTATATCCTGATATTGATGTCAGACGAAAGGGGTTGTGGTTTGAAAATATTTTGCAGAGGGTTTCCAACGTGTTAAAAATTTAGATTCAATATAAGCAATAGGTTAATAAATTCCTTCAATATGAATAAAAATCAAAATTACTTTTATGAAACCTTATTTCCAAACTGCATGTAGGAGGGTTGCCAGCTGATTTTATAATTAAATTCAATTTGAATTAAGAGTATTAGATAATTTAAATATGTATCACAATACAAGTGTCAAACGAAAAAGGTTTAACGACGTTTTGGTTTAAAAATAATTTGAACAGGATGGCCATCTGTTTGAAAAGTCGAATTAAATTAAATTATATAAAATATTGAAATATTGGCGTCAAACAATGGAGTATTAAGAAATATTCAGTTTGAGCATTTATACCATTAAAGAGCGTTTCCACCTGTGTAAAACGTTAAACTAAAATTTTTTAAATGTCAAATGAATTATTAAAGTGTGGGTATAAATTGAGTAAAAATTTTTTTCTGCACTTTATTTAAGAGGGTTGTCATATGTTTTAGAAATTAAATTCGACTTGAATTAAGGGAATTAAGTACAGAATTTAAATATGTATCGCAATATGTGTGTCGGTCGAAAAAGGTTTAACAAGGTTTTGGTTTTGAAATATTTTGAGTAGAATAGGGTTGCCACCTGTATCCACACAGGCTGCGCTTCTAGACTTCCCGAAGACTTCCTAGACCCCCTTCCCGAAATCCTGGCTACGCCACTGAGCATACATATAGATTTCTTCGCAGTGTATTATATTAGATGTAGTTAAGGCTTTAAAATAAGCTTAGAAATAAGTTTTATCCAAAAGTTCGTTTTTACGTAAATAGAAACTTCTCTTTCGTTTTTCATGGATCGAAGGCAAAACCCAAAGTACCATTCAGTTGAATGAAAATCCACTCGCTTATTGCCACTCTAGACATAAATGGAATTTTTCTATTTTAAATCACTCTTTTTTCAGATTCGTGCAATCGAAATCGCAAATCCTTTTGTGCAAAAATTGGTAATAAATACATTACCTATTACATAAGTTGGACATATATGCATACATATATGTACATAATACCGCCTGGGTAAAAGATTGTCATAACCGTCATTTTGATGGTTTTCAGTTAAAGATGCAGTTTTATTTTTTTTAAATAAGATCTTTCTATTGGTGCTATCAGGTTTTGGATAACTCCTTTAGTTACCGAGATATTGGGTAAAATTTTGTCGTATTTGCAAGTTCGCAAGCGACTCGGTCAACATTTTGTTGTATGGGCGTGTGTGAATCGGTAACAAAGTTCGCGACAAATAAATTTTTGACAACTATGAGGTGAATAAAATTTCACTAGCTGATATGACATGACATGACTTGAGTAGTCATGAGGCTAGTGAAATTTTTGACAAATGCATAGAAAATTTTGACAATCGCAAAGATTGTTGATGTGTGTAATTTTTCGATAAATAAAAGCTTAAATTGATGAATTGCAATCAACGATCGTAGATGCTTTCTTAAAATATTAATTTCACTTCAATTTGTAATATTATATTCCACATAAATCTGGGTTATCAAAAATTTACTGCTGTCAAAAAATATTTAATTTCACACAGCAGATTGGCAAAACTGTCTCGCCATAGTCAAAATATTATTCAACAACTTTCCCCATGGAACTTTGTTACTAATTCACACACGCCCTATGTAACGAAAAATTTTACATACGACAAAATTTTCATACAGTTTGATGAAATTGATTACTTGTTAAAATATTGTCTTATGTGACAAATTGTATGGTACATACGACAAAATCACACCAATCCTATACAATGCATAGTCGTATGTGTTACGACAACTCTTATTGACAAATTGTTTAATAATTTGCTGATTTTTATTCAATAATTTATATCACAGGTGTATTAGAATCAATTTTTTTGCATACGAGCAAAAAATAATTCAATAATTTCTGCTTTTTGTTTACTTGCTGTGTGTGTGATTTGTAATATGTATGTCATACAGCTGGCTAGCGTTTAACGTAAAAATTGAGAAATTGTGCCTGAATCTTTAACATCGATTGCCGAAAACCTGCCGAAAGTAACATACGACAATCTTTTACCCAGGCGACGATATGTAGTACATATGTACATATAATGTTGTGGTTATACATATGTACATATATATTCTACTCGTTAAGTACCTTAATGCCAAAGAAGGAAAGAGTTTAAAAGCTAGCAATTGCATTATTTGAAGTGACAATCTTTTGTATCGGTTGTCGAATGTGCAATGAGCACTGAGTACGTGCTAATGAAGATGTTAAGTATGGGCACATGAGTTTAATGGCTTGCCATTGCCATGCGACTATTCAAAGGATGTCGATCTGCTTAAAGGGTTCTTCAGATTCTTTGTACGTACACTCAAAAAAATTTTTCATCAGGATGATGCTATTTTTTAGCCTTCAACATAAAACTTTCGAGTATCTACTTGTACTAATTCATCATTTTATGTTATGTTATTTATGGCTACACTGATACCGAAAAGTTATAATGGGCCGTATGAATAAAAACTAAGCAATTGCTTTTTCTTAAAATTGTATACCTTTTACTTAAATTTTATTTGAATAAATTGAGTAAAAGATGTGAGGAAAGCCATCGCTTATTTTTATTATGTGTGGGTCAGCTAGGTTTAGTAGCTCCACTGGTTTCCTAGAAATTCGCAAAAATGTGTTTTTCAGCTGTTAAACTAGGTGTCTTTTAGGTGTTCTTCAACGCCACTAAAGCTAATTTAGTAGGTTTACGTAATCCTAGCTGACCCACACATTTTTGCGAATTTCTCGGAAACCAATGGAACACCTAAATTAATTTTGGAGGCCTCAGTTAACACCTAAAAGACACCTAATTCCTAGCTAATTTTTATTGATTTTTGGCGACTTGGGTCAGCTAGGTTATGGACGTGTGTTACCCATCATTTAAAGGTCTATAAATCTTCTTTTCAAAACATGTTTAGTTTTTAAAATCGGATGCAAATAGTCAAGCTGCTAATAGATAAGTGCATCAAGTACGAACATAACGGTTGTTTTTAAATAAAATAAAAATGTTTGTTTCGGATGCATTTCATGACAGAATATTATTCCATAAATGGACAGTTCACCCTAATGATAAACGATCTGGAAGTTGAAATGATCCAGCTTTCCTCTGGCTTAGTATTAAAAACCATAGTTCTCACTGAAACGATTTTTCATCGCAACACGCAGACGCCCCTTTCATTCTTAACGTTGATTTCTCCAAAGTTTTGATCTCGTTTTATTCTCTAGCAGAACGTTCCCCAGACTTTTGTTCTTATTTGATCCTCCTTGGAACCGTTCACGATACTTTCGTTCTCATTTTATTCCCATTGGAAACGTTACTGAAATGTCTTCTTGATTTCTTGATTTCCCCTGATTTTTTTTTCGCATTTTGTTCTTTGCGGAAACGTTGCTAAACCTTCTGTTCAAACTGCTCTCAATACTTGTGTTCCCGTTTGATTCTTTTGTGGGAGCGTTCTTGATATTACATTTTGTTCTCATGCAGAACTAAACCAAAACTGGAACGCGTTCTCGGTCCCTGTTTTTTATCTTCTTAATAGCCAATTATGACTCTATTGAAGTAAATGAGCGTATGTATGTATGTACATACATACATAAGTATCTATGTAGTAACAATTCTTATCATAAATACATATGTATGTATATATATATTTGTATGTAAATTTCTTATTCGTAATTTTCAGATGAAGACACCGGCGATACAGAATGATTTCAGCTACTACCGTCGCATTGTCAGTCGGCAACGTATCGACCAGACCAACAACATGTTGGTGAGCACGGAACTGGCTAATCGTATGTCCCTATTCTACGCACACGCTACTCCGATGCTTAAGGTGCTCAGCGAGGCGACATCCAAATTCGTCAACGACAATGCCGATGATGTGGAGAATACGACCGAAACTCTTGGTACAATGGCCAAAGTGTGCTTGCGAATGCTTGAGAATCCGTAAGTATTTATAAACAACACATGGACATTTCACCTGTTTGTTTTTTTTTTTTATAGTAAATTGCTGCAACAAATTGAACGAGAGGAAACACATCTGCTGGTGCTGCGAGTAATGGTTGGCCTTGTGATATTATATGATCACGTACATCCAGTGGGCGCCTTCGCACGTGGCTCGCACGTAGACGTTAAAGGTTGTGTCCGCTTGCTTCAGGCGCAACCGGCCATCAAAGCGGAGCCTTTATTAAATGCGCTGCGTTACACGACAAAGCACCTCAATGAGGATAACACACCGAAAAATATTCGCAATTTATTAGCAGCATAATAACTAAGGCAGTGGCGCCTGACAGCTCAGGAGCAAATTGTCATCAACACTGCTAAATCTCTTCTCAACTACAGACACTACCGCCATGCTGCATGCAATACGTTTAACACTAGTAAACAAACAAGATAAACAATAACTTTG